TCGTCGCAGAAGAGTGGCACATGAACACAGGATAGAGGAGGGATGTGAGTGTCTGCGGCTACGGTGACTCGGGAAGATAGCGGCTTGAAAGAAAGTTCTTCAGACGTCGGCGCTTCACACAGGGGCAGTTCACACATCGTCAACAACTCTAGTTCAGCACGCGCACAGTGAACGATGGCATGATGAGCGCAGAAGAAGTCCCAGCCTAAGATGATATCGTGCGCACATGGGGAAAACACAACGAATTCGACCACATACAAAATATTTTGGATGACCAGTCGAGCTGTGCACGCCGCAGAAGGTTGAATGTGATGCGCAGTGGCCGTGCGGAGAGAGACATCGGAAGGCGGCAGCGTAAGCTTCTTCAACTGGCGGCACAGTTCACCACTTAACACAGACACGGAAGCACCAATATCAACGAGTGCTTTCGCAGGTACACCATCAATATGCACAGTTATTCAATTATAGGTAAAAACGGAGACCTTGAAGGTTTCGATATATGCGCAGCTCTTGCCTCGTAAACTGCGATGGTCAGTTTTCCGTTTGGGCGGGTGGTGATCGAGGAAGCATCGGAGAAATAGAGCGGCGACGTGGTGAGGGCGACCGATTCCTGTCGAAGCCGTGGCGACGTAGCGGCGACTGATCCAACATGTGGTGGAACGAAGACGGCTGTGGTAGCTCTGGATGATAGGAGTCGTAAGTCGCCTCACCAGCAGTTGGGTTGTAATCCCGAGGATGGCAGTAGCGTGCTACATGACCAGAAAGCTGGCAGAAGTAGCAAATTGGCCTGTTGTCTGGAGTGCGCCAAGGGTTTGTTGATGGTTGTGTGGGTGACGAATAGGAGGTGGATGGCGACGGGTAGGTGGACTTGCTGTGTAGAGGGGACGGGGCTGTCTAGCAAGATCCGTGACGGTTGGTAGCGACGGCTGCGATCGTCTGGCGGCCTCGGCGTAAGTGAGAGGGGCGCAGATAGGCGGAGGATTGTATGTGGAAGACAGGGCGTCAGAAACTTGCTCTTCGATTGCCTTGCGGAGCATTGGGGTCAGCGTGTGCGCACTGGTCGGGACGTACGGCACAAAAGACAATTGGTGCGAAACTTCTTCTCGGACAAACTGCTGGATTTGCTGCATTAACGTGGTTTGTTCGGAGGAAACAGCGCCAATGGTTAACCCAGATGTAGAGGTCGTGTCGAGGTTTGGACGTCGAGTAGAAATCCGCTCTCTCCGCAGCTCGTCGAAACTCTGGCAGTGCTGAATAAGCTCACTCTAAGCTGAAAAGAACTAAAGTGGTGTATGCCACTGGTCCTTTATATTACTAAATGCGCTGCCACAGTTTTTGAACCAATTTTGGACTAACTGCGGGAGCAACTGCAAGGGTTCAACTGTTACCCCCTAGCACTTACTTCACTTGGTTTAAAAGTTGGTCCCAGTAGAATGCTCCAGTGGGACTAACAGTTTAACCATCTGGACGAATGGCAATAAAATGGCAACACTGCACTTGTGGAGTATAATTTATGTTTATTCCAATTTAATTAGCAATGAAGAATGCAGTATATTGCTTATGCAACACACATACATACACATATATACACACCACTGTATCAAAGGAAAACACCACAAACGCTTACCGCCCGCGCTACACGTCAGAGAACAAACTGTCGGATATATACAGCACACTATTTTGACCTCCCATGTAGTGCCAGTGGGTGACTTTTACTCGGCTTAAAAAACAATAAACATTGACACCGTAACGCTAAAATTTACATGGGCTAGTTTGTAGCACCGAAGTGCACCGATCTTTTAATATGGATCCATCTAATCTTCAACATTCCTCAAGCATTAGAATGCGAATTATCAGATGGCATTCGATCATGTCGGCCGAACCAGCATTCGCGGTGCTAGTGCACGAGTCCGCGAACACAAACATAGCAGCGGCGGTTATGTTTAAAAAACCAGTGAACCAGCCAGGCGCCCCGCCGATGCCATACCGTGTCGGCTTGCCGACGACGTCGCTAGGCTTACGACGAGTACGGCTAAGCGACCACCGGCGATCGCAACATGCGGCTCGCGTGGAATTTACGTCGTCGTCATTTTATAGTCGCAAATGAACAATAGGTAAGTGTCCCATGTTCGCGGTGTCTTAAAGAGTGATGTAGATATCTGTGTACTTACAGGGACGAGACCATTCGCAGGTACGGTTCTTTCAACGCGCTGGGAAGTCGCTCACTGTGTACCACCGTCCGCACGATTAGTTCTTACCACGATCGCTTAGACGCTGGATGTTTGATAACGATTGTCGCATGGAGAAAAAGACATAAGTTTGCATGAGCTTTAACGCAGGAGACTATATTTTCTGTAAAAGAAATTGTATGCGACATTTCCTTCGCGTATGCCGACAATGCACTCACACCAGCAGCCAGGTTGATACAGTTGACGTACTAAGCCTACTTTTTCTATATATCGCTTCGAAGTTGTGGTCACTGTGTGGGTACACGACCGCTGACGAACAGCTTACTTTTATTAGCGTTGTCAGTGTTCCTCGTAGTTCAAACTAATTCAGCACATTGAAGCAAGTTATCCGCATTGCCCGTGTTCGGCAACTTTCACTTGGTTTCGGCCCGCCCGTGCCGGCATGATGGAAACACGAGGGCACTTGCTGTGTGCACTGACTGCATGTCGTACATGCTTCTCATAACATCTCCTCTCATAACATCTTGCCCCGCCGCGGTGGTCTAGTGGCTAAGGTACTCGGCTGCAGACCCGCAGGTCGCGTGATCGAATCCCGGCAGCGGGGGCTGCATTTCCGATGGAAGCAGAAATGTTGTAGGCCCGTGTACTCAGATTTGAGTGCGCGTTAAGGAACCCCAGGTGGTCGAAATTTTTCGGAGCCTCCACTACGGCGTCTCTCATAATCATATGGTTGTTTTGGACGTTAAACCCTACATGTAAATCAATCAAATCAATCAATTATCTCATAACATCTTCTATTCGTTTCATAGTGCTTCGCTTCCACAATAGCGTATAACCTATATAACTTGATTTCATGATCGCGGACCACGCCGAGCATTGCAGTGCAGCATCGACAGGAGGCGATCGCAGCGAAGTTGCCCTCCCCGTTCGTCCCTCCATGCCGGGCGTTTGCGCACGACACGCACTGTAGCGCATTTAGTCCCTGTTGGACAAACCGTTCGTGCGTTGGTTTAATGACCGCAGTTATTCCAACTCTGCCGAATTTCGGCTTAAAGTGCTGGGCGACGGTTTGCGGGTTTTTTCGCAACGAGCATGTGAAAGGCGTCGTCATCGATACCTTTCATGATGTGCCGTATTTTGTCAGTGTCAGACATTTCAGAATCGATACGACGGCAGAGGTCCAGAACATCCTCAATATACGAGGTAGAGGTCTCGCCTGAGCGCTGTGCGCGGCAGCGCAGGTGCTGTTCGGCGCGGAGCTTGCGAACAGCGGGTCGGCCAAAGACTTCTGCGCAGTGCGTCTTGAAGGTTGGCCAAGAGGGTATTTCCGCTTTGTGGTTGGTAAACCACAGTTCTGCGCCACCGGCGAGATAGAAATTGAGGTAAGCGAGCTTGTCTCTGTCATCCCACTTATTGTGGGCTCTTACCGCTGCAAGCTGCGACAGCCAGTCTTCGGCGTCTTGGTCGTCGGTCGCGTTGAAAATCACTGGATCTCGCTGTCGTGGCATTCCGGAACAGGTGACAGATGGGATTATCACTGCAGGGGGCTGGGTCATGTTGTCAGGCATTGACGAGGCGAGGGGCTGAAGTAGAGTCCGGGAACGGAGTTCCAGTTTGAGACAACCAGCACTCTCCACCAAATGTAAGAATACTGCTAGACGCACGCCGGGGTAGAGCAACCGTTTATTGGGCCTAACAGCACTGAGACAGCTACCAGCGGTTTCAGCAGCAGCTGCAGCTTTGGTTGGTTAGTTGGTTGCTTCCTCAACTCCTTGGCGCAACCCACCTCTGGGGATAGGTCAAGAATGGGACGGGGCCTTGCTTTTTAAAGTGATTCACTTCTTGAAAGAGAGGGTTGGATTACTTAGGTAATATAGGTAATAATAAGAAGGTGTTAAAATTCTAAACAAAAAACTTGAAAAGAAAACATAAACATACAAAAAAGAAAAAAATATACATAAAACAACTGAAGTTACTTATTTTTAGCATTCCATTCTTTTAGATTCTCGTGGGAAATTTGTCACAGCGGTAAAAACGCTCCTGTGGCTGAATCCAAATGCGACTGCGCCAAATGAAAGAATCACTGGAAGTGTCAAGTTTGCGCCCAACTTTCGTAGGGGTTCTTCTAGAAGATTTTCCCTTTGAGTTTCGAATTTTGAGCGTGACAAAAAGAAGTGCTCCAAAGATTCCCTCTCATTACAATAAAGGCACAAAGGCGACTGTGCCAGACCCGACCTATGAAGGTAAAGTAAAAGTTCAATGAGGGGACTCGACAACGCAGCCTGATAATCACTATTTCTTCCCTTCTTAATGAACAGCACTTGTTCTGCAGCAGCACGAGCGTCCACCACAACAAAGTTCTTATTCGTCGTTCTTAGAGCCCGTATTTGTCACTACAACATATATATATATATATATATATATATATATATATATATATATATATATATATATATATATATATATATATATATATATATATATGGTGGCTTGGCTTTCACAGTTCTGTTTGCCTGTGTCCCTACATTCAGGACGCCTGAACTTGCATGCATTTACAGCGAAGAAATAAACTGTCACTAAATGCCTATAACACCACTCCTCTAACCGCTACCAAATAAAATAAGGTATATTTACCATCACGATGATTTCAAAAGTAGTTCAGTACTAAACATGTAGTGCAGGGTAAAGACTTCGAGTACCCAGAAGACAGACCCCAGAGGTCGGTATTTGTAAGCGAAGTAACTAAGTTGTTTCTCTGTAGCGCGCAGTTGTGCTACAATAAATGTCTGCGGTTTCCTTGTCTTTATGCAGCGTTCAAGAAGTCCGTCGATGTAGATCCGAGCTTGATATCACCTTGCATGAGAAGAATATACCTGATGATGAAAATCCACAAGAAGGAGCAGTCAGCCAAGGAACAGACACCTGTCTTGATGAAGATGGAGGTATGTATATGACATTTAAATGCTATTAGAATGTCAACATTCATTTAGTGTTGTTGGAGCTCGAATTCACCAGAAAAAAAATGGCATAAGCTAATGCACAAGAAGTCAAATAAAGAGCTAGCAGTGACAGGAAAAGTACAGAAATTCAGAGTTTCGCTACAGAATAAATTCGAAGCTCTAAACAACGTAACCGACGTTAGTATTGAATCAATGAGCAATAATCTTACTAGTATCATCAAAAAAGTGTACAATTGAAGTCGTAGCTACTGTCACTACACAAAAGACTAGAAAACTATTCCAGGAGACAAAAAATCTTAAGAGGCGACACACCACGAAAACCTAAAATGTAACCGAGAATACAGAGCTAGTGGAGCTTTCGAAGTTAATCGATATTGATGTCAGCGTAAGGTAGCTGATATCAATAGGTATCATATGGAGAGAATAGAGCAGGCTGTAAAAAGCGGCAGAAGCCTAAAAGCTGCGAAGACAAAATTGTGCATAACCGAAAATTGGATGTATGTATTGAGCGACAAGGCAGGCAATGTCATAGCCAATATGAAGAGGATAAATCAAGGGGCAGAGGAGTTCTACAGCGAGCTGTTCAGAAGCTGAACTTACCGGGTTGATATCATAAGAATCAATAATAGGCCAGAAGAATTCGCCTTACATGTAGCGACAGTTTAAGTAATAAAAGCACTAGACAGCATGCAGAGAGACATAGCCACTCGTGAACAAAAAGTAACAATGAAATTGCTGATAAATGGCAAAATTTATGTTTGAAAAACAGGCCACCTTATATACGAAGTGTTTTTTTTTTGACGGGAAGGGTACCAGACTCTTGGAAGAATGCCAACATCATCTTAACACAAAAGAAAAAAAAAGATATCAAGAAATTGAAAAGTTACAGGATGATTAGCCTACTCTCCATTTTCTGCAAACTATTTACAAAAAAACTAATAGCTAATAAAATCAGGGTGGTATTAGAGTTCAATAAACAAAAGGAACAAGCAGGATTTCGTACTGGCTACTTCACAGCGGACCATATTGCTACTATCGATCACGTTGAAACATCGGCAAGGATGCAGGCACTACGGAATCAAGGCGTCGACGAACCCTACGCAAACATACTGAAAGAAACATACAGTGGATCCACAGCCCCCATCATAGTCGTCCATAAAAAAAGCGTCGGAATCCCAACAAATAAGGATGTAAGGAAAGAAGACAAGATCTCTCCAATGCTATTCAGCGCGTGATTAGAGAAGGTTTTTAGGACCCTAGATTGGGAAGAGTTAGGAATAAGATTTTCCGAAAAGTATCTTAGCATGCGATTTGCTGATGTCATTGCCTGGATGGGTAACTCAGGGGACGAATTACATCTCGTGATTAGTGAACTGCACCCGGAAAGTAGAAGAGTAGGTCTGAAGGTTAGTGTGCATAAAACTAAAGTAATATGCAACAGTCTAGGCGGGAAACAGCGCCACGCCATAGGTGCAGAGACGCTGAAAGGTGTGAAGGAATATATTTACTTAGGACAGGCAGCAACTGTGCAACCGGACCATCAGAGCGAAATAACTATAGAAGAATAAGGATGGGGTTGACCACATTCGGCAAGCATTCTGGAATCATGAATGGTAATCTGCCACTAGCCCTCAAGGAAAGGTACATAAAACCTGCATATTTTTGCACCAATGATTGGGAAGAGTTGAGAATACGATGTATTGAAATATATCTTAACATGCGATTCGCTGATGGCATTGCCTGGATGAGTAACTCAGGGGACAAATTACATCTCGTGATTACTGAACTTCACACGGAAAGTAGAAGAGTAGGTCTGAAAATTAATGTGCATAAAACTAAAGTAATATACAACAGTCTCGGCGGGAAACAGCGCCATGCCATAGGTGCAGAGACGCTGAAATATGTGGAAGGAAAAGGTACATAGCAGCTGCATATTTCTGCACCAATAAGCAGAAACCTGGAGGCTTACAAAGAGAGTTCAGTCTAAATTGAGGACGACACAGTGAGTAACGGAAAGGAAAATGATAGGCTTAACCTTAAGAAACAAGGAGAAAGCAGAGTGGGTCAGAGAACAAACCGAGGTTAAGGGTATCATAGTTGAAATAAAAAAGAAAGAATAGACATGAACTGGGCATGCAGCACGTAGGCAGAATAACCACTGGTCGTTGAGGGTAACTAACTGGATTCCCAGAGAAGGCAAATGCACTTAAGGGAGAAGAATTTGTGCTGGGTCGATGCGATTAGAATGTTCGCAGCTATAGCATGGCAGCAGAAAGCACAAGACCGGGTTGATTGGTGGATCGGGGACAGGCCTTTGCCCTGCAGTGGGTGTCGTTAGGCTGATGATGAAGAAGAAGAAGAAGAAGATGATGATGATGGTATGATGATGATTACCACAAAAAGTAAAAATAATAAATAAGTGAGGAGCTATAACGTGCCGTGATTGTATACGTAGGCGTTAGCCCACAAATAAACCTGTGCAGTGGTATAACTTACGCCTACCGAATACATGCACCTGAATTTTTTTTTTTGTGCCCTCGATACTTCAATTGCGAGAACGAATCAAGCGCTGCCAATAAAGTGCTTCCAGACTAAAAATATGTAAGCTCTGCTTGATGGCTGAGTCGGAATAATAATAATAATAATAATAATAATAATAATAATAATAATAATAATAATAATAATAATAATAATAATAATAATAATAATCACTGGGGTTTTGCTTTCTAAAAGCACGATAGGATTATGAGAGACTCAGTAGTGCGGGGCTGTAAAAATTTTGACCATTTGATGTTCTTTAAAGGGTATGTCATCGCACAGTACATGGGCCTTTACCATTTCACCTCTATTGAAATGTGACCACCGCGCCCGGAATCGTACTCACGACCTCGCGTCAGCAGCCGAGAGCCCTATAGCCGCTGTTACATTGAAGGGGACGCTTAGTTTTATTAGGCAGGTCGTAAAGAATGATGGAGAAGCCGGTATAAATTTGAGGCGAGGAACAGTACCGCAAAAGTAACAAAATCAAGCGCCTTTAGAAAGAAGTGATATGCGACTCCATTGTTGGTATCGTGCAGTTTTGAAAAAAAAAACGCACCATGTAGTTCTTTTTGCTAAGAATTCGCTTGTCTCCAATATAACCCTCTTGATAAATAACCTGTTAAATTCCTGTGGAGATAAGCTCTCTTGTAAGTGTCGTTAGGAGCTCGTCTTCCCAAGTTAGGCTTAACCTGTATCATTAACAAGAGTAAAATTATGTGACAAGTGGCGACTCACCAGAAAGAGCAACACGCACTATTAATTTATTAGTGCATGCCCACGTTTTTCTTACGTACTATAGATCTCCTGAGCGTTTGCGTTTCTTTCTCGTGTTACAGGAAACATCTGATCCGGCGGTGCCCAGTGTTGTCAGCGGAAGTGGAAACGGTTACACGAATCACGCCATGACAAGTGACAACGACGTTGAACGAACAGACATTTAATCGTTAAAAACAACCAATGCAGTTATGTTGTAGACTTTAGCGATGTATCCCAGTATGTGAGACTCGAAAAGTTTGTGCGAACTCGCGCTGTTACATATTGTAGCGCGCTGGAGGTACGAGTTATGTATATATAAGAAAGAGGCATATTTACCGTCCTAATGTATAACGCGTTCATTACGAGAAAAGCTAATTGAGGTGCCTCTACTTCGTGTTTGCAGTAGTGTCGCAGACATATTTCTTCGCAATTTTGGAACGACATGTTGGGCATTACATTCAATGTGTACTCATTAATGTCCTTCAATCTGGCGAGAATGGGTGCCCCAAGAAGCAGTTTTTTGCTTTTCTTATCAACCCCATAGCGCTAAAGAAGTCGTGTCACAGAAAGTCCGGAATTTGTGTCGGTGTAGGCGTCATTGATTGTGAGCGGAAAACATATCATCTATGCATGACCGAAAAATTTAGAAAGATGCAAATAAAGTAAATAATAAAAACTCTGTGTATCGGAGGGGATTGAACGCTGGCTGTTTTCGCGGGAAGTGGGTGTACCACCACAGCCATGCCTGTTTCCCCCCCTCTATTTTCGGTTAAACTTCACACACAGGATGATGAGCTAAATATTACGATAAACTACAAACATGACACAACCATTACTATTTGCGTCAAGCACTGCTAAAGCACATCACACCTCAAAATTTCTTTATAGTAAGCAGGGCTTTCTTTTTAATCACAAAAGAACACATGTGTTTGTTCTTACTACCACTAGAGACGTTGATATGCTTTCTTTGCTTTGCGGGTCTCCTGTCAGGGTCACAGTGAAATCCAGTCATTCGAGAGTGCCATATACTGTGCAAGATTGTCATAATGATTTAATCAAAATGTAACCCATCACCATTCTCAATTTTTTGTTTGTTTTGCATAGAAACACAACCACGCTTCTGCTTGTGGAACAGTGACAATAATTCCCTTTGATTAGAAATGCCGTGAAAGTAACTTTCATACAATACGAACACACGCGTCCTGTATACATGCTTCAAAAACCAATATGAAGAATTGTCCTAATAATGCGTGTTTTAAGCGTGCATTGCCATCGGCCGCAAGAACATAATACTGTCACAATGACTCCATCGTTTAAAGCCAGTCATCCACTTCAAAAGGCGCACACGTAACTACACCTTCAATGCCACGTAGTGGTTGCATAGCAAATTCGAAAACATTTCATACGCGAAGTGTTTGAAATACGCACTAGGAACAAAATATTGCTATCGTGTTGAACTCTTGAAGAAAATTGGGGAAGCTTAAGGCTCCCTCATTTTTTTTTACATTGTTGTCGAGTAATGACGAGCCGATAGTAGTATACTTTCGACAGCGTCTTATGTTTGTTGTTTTTCGTTTTTATTAGAGTTAATCGTCTTCCTAGTAGGTTTCTGTATGTATGACCATATGTATGTCTATAGTTGTGTTTAAAGCTGTGCCTATCTCAATATGTATATCTCTTTCAGTGTCTATGCGAGTGGTTTATTGATTGTCTTATTTCGCATTAAATCACGATAGCTGAACGTACCGACTTCCCCGAAATAATCAGCCCTGACCTTGTCGAATGAATAAAGCGATGATGACAGAAAAGCAAGCACCAGAATCATTTGTACAAAACCCATTTCTTTCATGTCATCAAAATGCTATTGTTTACATGTTTGACAGGTTCTGACACTTGCTATAGTTGTCAAGAAATATTGCATGTTTAACAATTTCAATCTTTCACAGTGCATGAAACGAGGACTAACAAAAATAAGAAACACAGTGCTATTATTGTCTCCTGTTCTTTTTTTGTTTTTTTGATAGGCTACCCGATTCTTGGTCGATCCCCCAGAGTGAGTGTGAGCCATGGGTTTAGGATCTACATCTACATCCTGTTTTTTTTGGACCTTGTTCCATGCGCTATGAAACATTAAAAATAATAATAATTAAAAGGCGGATTGCAAGGAGCACAGTTCAAAGCTGCTCAGTACAGCATAACACTTAATAGGCTAAAGCTTTGCTTCCCGCAAGGAAAAGACAAAGTGCTTTAGCAAATTTCACAATGCCCATGATGACGCGACTTCGAGTGAATTGGAATCAAATTCGCTCCGAAGGTTTGTCTCACCAAAAAACAACACTTACAAAGGAGGGCTCACATCACGCATTTATACACTGCACAATAGTAACCGCAAGGAGTCGCGGTACCTTGCGCGTCATGTTGCATCAACTTGCGAACAGCTGATTTGCATTGAAAAAAACAACAAATATGAATATGAACGTCCTCAACCAGCGAAGAATCTAGGAATGTTGCAGTATTCCAAAAGGTCGGGAAGCGATATCATGGTGAAGGTAGTGTTTTCTGCAACTTAGTCGCATTTATTCCGTAGTGCTCAAAAGGTCACAAGGGTCTGCAGTGGGAAGAGAAAAATACTGTCAGATGCAGGGCAAATGGTTGTGTTGGAGTCGCTAACCGAATTCCTCTCTCTCGTGCTTATTATATAGACACATTGGCCCGACTGATTGATGTATCAACACGCGCCTCTGAAAGCATCAAAATTTATTAAACGGAGTCATCTCATCGCAACTCGCATTGCCAGTCATGCAAATGCAATTTGATCCTCGAAGGTACTCGAGGGCACATAAAATCACAAATACTGAAAATAAATACCTAGCCGGAGTACGGACACCCGATATATTTGAATGAATGAGATGACAATGACAGAAAAATTAGTTCCCGTCATGTGTGTACCCAAAGCCATTTTCTTTATTCTGTTGTTGAGGCTTTATGGTAGCACAGCAAGGGCCAAGACACCCTAGGCAAATTTTCACAAAGGCTGAAACTTTATTGCGCTGTGTTCGGAAACGTAAGTCATGCAAGTGTCCGCAACCAAACTGTTGAGGTTGAAGGATGACGAAAATAAAGTTAGTCGTCATTTGTTCCTCAGTGACCCATTGCCAGCTTTTATCTGCTTGGGTTTCATTCGCACCCACGTGAACCCTCCTACTCTACCCCTGAACATTATTGACACGATCCAAACACGCAACCTTCTGATATGGTGACGTGAGAAGCACTTGCCAATCGATGGACACATTCATCACGATGTGGTGTTAATCGAGCCGCAGAAGGCGGCTCACGTTGAGGACGCAGACATCGTTTCACTTGTATTGGCATCTCTGGTCCCAACCGCTTATAGGCTGCTTTTGTTCAAAAACGCGAAATCAGAAGGAGACGCTGTAGGCGAGTTTTTAGAATGGTCAGTCGTATCCCACATGGTCACCATATCCGACAATGTCATGTCCGCAAAACCACGATATAAAGAAAAAAAGTGAACAATGTTTTTTTAGAAAAAATCAAACTTGGAGTAAGCTACAAAGCACGGTGCTAGAAAAATCGAGTGCTGTCATTCCCAAAGAGGAGTCGAGCGTTTAGCCGGAGTACGGACACCCGATATATTTGAATGAATGAGATGACAATGACAGAAAAATTAGTTCCCGTCATGAGCGCTGCGTGTCGTGTGTGTTGCTCTGGTGTAAGTGTGTGTGCTTGTGTGAGTGTTTGCGTGAGTCGAGGTTGCGCCAAATTTCTAAGTATACGAGCGTTCTTCATCAACCTTCGAAATGAGGCCTTCGTCATTGAATATTGGACTGGTTAGCAACCTTGCTGTCACTTGTTTTCGTTCTCCATAGAAACGCTGTAACTTTGGATCACCGGATGAGAGGACGGAAAGGGAAGAACAACCTGTCAACGGGTTTAGACAGCAGCGCTCAGAGAATGCGGTAGTTGAGACCGGCGCTTTCTTGTTTAGAGAGCCCATTCAGTCTCCGTCATGGCCCCTCGGTATTTCCACCCGGCCGACTACTGCGTGCTCGTAGCCGTGCTGGGCCTTTCAACGTTAATAGGCGTGTTCTTTGCTTGGAAGGACCGCCGTAGCACCGACAAAAAGGACTTCTTCGGGGGAAGTAAGCAAATGCAGGTAAGCGAAGCAGAAATAATGTGGTGAACACACCAGCGTAGATACCGACGAGTATGTATATATACGAAGAGAGACGTATAGTCAACCAACTCAGCATTGTCTGCTGTGTACTATTTTCTTCTACGGTCTATTGTGTGACTTTCTCCATACTGATCGGTATCTGGGCTGTTCGCTTGACCACGTTGTACCAAAACGCACAAGTTGAAACTCTGCTCAAGATAATGTGACGAAAATGGGCGATAAGTGCATTACGGCTGCGAGCTACCGTGGCCATGCCTTCCTTCCGAATAACTTGTGAAAGAAAATAAAATAATACTAACGTCATGCTAACAAAGGAGCTAAACTTGGGTGCTTACGATCATGCTAGAATGTATCATGCAAGTAAAAGTTGATATATCTATAATTGAACGATTTGATCTATACTTATTGTATTCTCTGAGAGCGATTCTATCTGGTATTAAAAATATATTTCAGCATTTGATACCATTATTTGCAATAAGGTTTTCGCTTAATGAAAATGCTTAAATTATTTTATTTTAAAAGCTGCATGATTCCGCAACGAGCATCAAAATCTACACCGCTGCTGTAAATTTTTTTTGCACATGACAAGAATATGTGATTAGTTCTGTACTTGCGCGTTGAAAGCAGGAAAGAAATGACGGCTCTATGCAAAGGGAGATATTATCCAATGATGGAGTTCCCTGCGACAATGGCTCACTGAATATTCATTATCTGGTCAAAGAGGACTCTCGTATTTATTAAAGGGTCAATTGGTACGAGCCGCGTGATCTAGACTAGAAAAAAAATAGTTTTTTTTCGTCACAAATAGTAAAAACTGTGCGCGCATAACAGGAGCTCTGTATGAAGGACCACGGTAGCGATAAACGACACAGGTTCCATTCTTGTTAGCGCCATACATTTTCTCTTTTTTTGATGACAGCATTGCATAATGTTTACAAGTTTTTAATATATATATATATATATATATATATATATATATATATATATATATATATATATATATATATATATATATATAATACACTTCAATTCTTCGATTCTATTGACACTATTCATCCTTTTGTTATGCTTGTGTTTGCTTGTAAGGATGTTTTCACTCGTTATTTATTTTTTGTGTGTGTGAAATATCCTTGTACTGCCGAACTGCCCCGCTCCCGAAAGAGAGTAGACGTATTGCAAATAAATAAATAAATAACAAATAAATAAATAATTAAATAAATAAACTTTTTCGCGCAGATGTTTCCAGTAACACTATCCATGACGGCCAGCAGCATGTCAGCGATCGCCATATTGGGTGTACCTGCGGAGAACTTTCTCCACGGCTCCCAGCATATGGTCGCCGTCGTTGGTGTCGCCATAGCTAGCCTTGTGGCTGCCCACGTGTCGCTGCCCGTTTTCTATCACATGGACATGATCAGTGTGAACCAGGTAGGACGCTTTTCTGACGGCTTAGAGATAAGCGGATCAAACATATTTAGCGTTTTTTAATTGACGTACCCTATCGTATGGTTGTAAAGTTCATATAGATTTTATTTAAGTGGACTGAATTGCACTTCGGAAATAGAGTAATAAAAGCGGACGCATGACGAAGTTTTCTCTCCTGAAACGACAGTCTGCACACAAGCACTGACAACAAAAGTAGAAGCGTCCCAAAAACTTTCGTAAAAGAAGTCGCAATTAACGTATAACTTTGATACATACAGAAAGTTAAAATAACATTTTACAGGTAAATATAAAATCAAACATATCATAGTTGAAACAGAAATTATTGAACACATATAGCAGGCAATATGCGTCAAATGAAACAGAATAAAAAAACTAGAAAAGAAGTAATTCACTTATTTGGCGCTTTATTATTATTTTTTCTGATTTTCGATTTCTGATTATTTTTTCTAAACTTTTGCTCCTGTTCAAGAATGTCGTAACCTGGTATTATAGTGCAGCGTTGCTGGTAATACGGTTTGCACGTATTACTAGCAAAGTGAAACTGCGTGTAATGTAAATACATGTGTAATCTAGTCTTTCACGCGGTCTATATTTTTGGTGACCATCTTCATCACCTGTTCACATTTTATAAATGCTTATATTGTTAGCCATCAAGTGGTACAGTAAAAATAAACAAGTGACTATAACTTTCCACATTACATGTAGGCAATGTACGCTAGATGAAAGTCTCAAGGTAGTGCAGAGCTGGCCAGCTTTGATGATGATGGTCATGCTAATAATGAGGAGGATGATGATGATGAATAAACAAACATGGCTCATACCCACTCGGGTGGCTCCACCGAGAATTTCTATATAAATTAATTAAACTTTTTCTGTACTCGGTATCTCAAATCAAAAGAAAAACAACGTACGTTAACCGGACACTCTTCAGTTTTCTCTTTCTCCCCTTCTTTAATTATTTCTCGTCCTCATTTTTAAGTTTATCTGCGTCTATTTCTTTATTTTTATTGATATCTCCGTTTCTTCTTATTTTTTTCCCTATCCGTTTTTCGCTAGCATCTTAAGAATGTCCGTGTTTAACATTATCATCAAGGCACTTGAACAACAAGAATGCTTCTTTTTGGCGTGAGCGCGCTCTCAAAACTCTACAGTGAGCGACGCTACGTAAGGTTTTGCCATCGTTAATGTTATTATTGAAGTATTAGAAGAAGAAGAAGAAGAAGCAAAAGAGAAGAAGAAGAAGAAGAAGAAGAAGAAGAAGAAGAAAAGAAGAAGAAGAAGAAGAAGAAGAAGAAGAAGAAGAAGAAGAAGAAGAAGAAGAAGAAGAAGCAAAAAGAAGAAGAAGAAGAAGAAGAAGAAGAAGAAGAAGAAGAGAAGAAGAAGAAGAAGAAGAAGAAGAAGAAAGAAAAGAAGAAGAAGAAGAAGAGAATGAAGAGAAGAAGGAGAAAGAAGAAGAAAAGAGAAAGAAGAAGAAAAAGAAGAAAAGAAGAAGAAGAAGAAGAAGAAGAAGAAGAAGAAGAAGAAGAAGAAGAAGAAGAAGAAGAAGAAGAAGAAGAAGAACAACAACAACAATAATTTCTAATAACAAAGCGGATACTTTCAGCTGTGGTTGAACATAACCCATTTTCACCTAGTCGTTTCAGTCCCTGTTGAGATCACAACGCAGTATATATGCTTTTAGCTGATTTGCGTAATTCTCGCGTTGCTATGGTGGCCGTTGTGTGATATTCATGAGTGCTTGCCTTTTCCCTTGCAGTATCTGGAGAACCGATTCAATTCTGTACTGATCAGGAAGATTATCTCCGCTTTGACCGTTATAGAAGTGGTAAGGAATAGTGAGACATTTAACGGGATCTACTAAAATTCCTGAATTGGCTAACGTAAATGACATCTGTACATCGCAGTGCTTCTATATGGGGGTAGTGCTTTATGGCCCGTCACTTGCACTCGTTTCAGGTGAGTACTTTTTGTTTTTGATAAATCATTCGCTTTGCGTGCCTGTCTAGCTATAGGGTTATGAGCATGACAACTTAGAGGTTTGGTGGTCTCAAATCTGCAATAAGTCTCAGATGCGCAGTCCAGCCGACAGAAGTATGCATACCCAGATTCAAATGAAATGACTATGAAAAGCAAACCGAAACTCGCATGTAATCATGACAAAAGCCTTCCATGGTGTCGCTAATGGTCAATGCCGATTTTTACCAGATCCATGTTACTCCCAAAGGCACCACCGCAGGGTCCATCTTCGTGACAGTGTAACTGGTGCCCGCATCAGCACCGTAGAAAACACTCTTCAGAGTCAGGTAGTGTAGGAACTACATTCAGGGTGTTTTAAGCCCATCACAGAGGCAGTAGCAGCTTCTCTCAGTATCGCTGTGCTGTTCGGTACGACAACACAACGAAATGCAAAAATCAGGCATATTGTCAAAGAAAGCCTATAGCACTCGAACTCCGACAATTGTGTATACGCTCACTGAAAGGGGACTTCCGTGCAGCGTTTATATTCTCTATGATACCTGCTCGGTGCAGTGACAGGCCTTCCAGTCTGGGTTTCCATCGTGCTCAACGGAAGCGTTTGCGCCTTCTACACGACAATAGTGAGTATACCTACATGTTGATTAGTCTCCGCACATCATACCTTCGCGCGCGTTTTAACAGTAGAGCTGTTTAAGGCAGCCGCATGAAACTTGTTTTTTTTTCGCCGTAGGTGCAACATGACAGTAGGCGCTACTGTAGGTGCCACGAGAAGAGCCCGGCCGAGTACAGCAGGGGAGAGCGTCAAATGAAAAATCTGCTCGGCAGAATATACCCCGTGAATGAAGTGAAATATATAGATAGATGGATAGATAGATAGATAGATAGATAGATAGATAGATAGATAGATAGATAGATAGATAGATAAATATACAAAAAAGAGAGCGAAACAAGACAAATATAAATACGGAAAAGGCATGAAAAGAGAGAGATATGGAAAAACACTACCACAAAAAAGAGATAGAAAAAAAAACAGGGAGCGAGGCCGAAAGGGAGAGAAAGATAAAAACAAGGAAATACGAAAAAACAAACAGAAAATGGCGAGAGATAAAAAGAAGCCGAAATAAATACAGAAAGAAGAAGAATGAGAAAGAAAGAAATATACAGCAACAGCCACAAAAAAGGCACAGGAAACAGAAAAAGAGTAAGAAGGAAAAAGTAGACAGGTACAGGTAAGCGCTCCTGGTTCCGCTCATCCATGACGCTTGGCTCTGCAATGCTGAAGCGTGAAGCTGCCATGATTTTTCGAAGAGGTTCGGCGCATTCACCCCACAAAGAAGAATATATTTCGTAGTATGGTTCCTCACATGCGAGATACAATATAATACTGGCAAACGAAGGCGTCGAGGGATCAGCCGATATTGAGATAAGCTAGGAGATGCAACCTTCAACAACAGGGCATCGTTGCAAGGCAACAATGCCCTCGAGGGCACTGTTGCCTTGCAACAATGCTGTTGACTTACCTTGTGGCACCGAGCGCACTGTTGCAAGGCAACAATGCCCTCGATACAAGGGCAACAATGCTCTTTACTCGAGGTGTCAGTTGCTTTTTGAATACCTTGAAGTGCCGCTAAGGTCAAGCAAATGGCGCATTCAATTCGTTCAGGTAGAGGTTAACTAAACTCTACATTGTTTTAAAGCAAATATAAAATGCAGGCAAGGCTTGTTTTTCCAGGCACTGAGCATTCTTTTGGGGGGGCGCTGTATGTAAATATATGCCTGTTGGGAAGTGTAAGTGATGCTTTATTTTTCTCCGATGCAATGTATTGGACCGTGGGTACATGTTAGGTACACCCATGAAACTTGCCAAAATACACCCCTTCGCACTGCAGGGAGGCATAAAAGCTGTCGTTTGGACTGACGTCCTGCAGGTGCTGCTGATGATTTTCGGACTGCTGATTGTCCTTATTAAGGTGTGCCCATATTTCTTTCTGTCTTTCTGTTTTTAACGAGGTGTTGTTATATCGGGTGTTCCAGGAAATGTGTCCAAAACTCTAGATGTCAATGAAGTGCTTCATTTCTTGATGCTTTCACAATCACTTCTTCTGCATACACGTGTATATTAAGATGATCACAAGCATTGTTTAAGACCGCAATTATAAAGTTAAAAGAATCGACTTTTGAATTAGTAGAGTTAGGCAGTTATGTCAAACGGAAGCATTGAAGTTCTGCATGTGAAAAGTTCATTGCGGCTTTGAATAATACAAAGCTTTATGAGCACCGAAGTCGGCAAAAGGCGTGAAGTAGGGGTACACAAACGCATGTGAAACGGAGGCGGGTCGCGCCTCACTGCAATTTACGGTAAATTTGTGTGTCATTCCCCTGGAAATGTATGAAAAAGGCATGGAATAGTTAGACCAATTCACACAGGCTTTCGCTGAACACACTTTGGAATTTATTGTCCTGCTATTTTTGTCGCATAGTGAAATGGAAACAAATTTTAATGGAAACAAAAAGGAAATTTGAAATATAAACAAAAAGGCAACATATATATACAATTTCCTGACTCTTGAGAATGTTGGACACATATCTTAAACGGTGATAGCTTGAAGAGGCTAAAAATAGGTATTATGTTCTATGTACAAACAAACGTTTTACATACATGATTACAAACATGGTTGCTTCAGACAGACAGACAGACAGACAGACAGACAGACAGACAGACAGACAGACAGACAGACAGACAGACAGACAGACAGACAGAGAGACAGACAGACAGAAAATAAGCTTTGGCCCCCTTGGCGGTCGTAACCGCTGACCACGCCCACCATTGATAAAGCTAAGGATCAGCTTTGTCAGTGCTGTCTACTGTCAAGAAAAGAAAAGGAGGAGTGGGGTTAAAAATTCAGCTCGTGCAGTTCATGATCCTTTCACATTTATTTTGAACACAGTGCAAACGCTACTGACCCTTAATTTCACCTAATATGTATGTCAACGGATGTTCACCCATATCGATATCCCTTGGTTAATGCCAGAGGTAACTTTCGCTAAATGCTCTCAGGCAACTAACCTCTGCATCAAATAAATATAACGCATAGACTCGTCAGTTATAGAAGGCAGCAGTTGAAGAGCGGTGATAAGTGAAAATAAGCTGCTTGCTCCCTCACTGCATGAATGTTAAAGTGCCCGTTGTTTAATATGCATCGATTTTATCTTCAAAGATACCACAGCAGAAGCAGTTTGTGTGAGGGCGCTCTTTCGTCGCAGTCAACCAGTTTTGACGAATAACATGAGAGATAATGAGTAAATTGCTGAAGTTTATTGTTACATAGTGTTTTTTGTGCAGCTATCATTGTTGCTAAAAAATCACGGCTTTTCCACGAGGTGAATGTTTCCACGAGGCTTTTGCACGAGGGCGAAGCGAACAGACGGCTGGACGGACAGACGGAAGGATGAACGCAGGAACGGACAGACGGATACACGAACGCACGAACGAATGGACTCTCCATTTATGCGTCCGCCCCTGCGTTCATCCATCCGTCCGTCCGTCCCTGTGTTCATTGATGCGTCTATCCGTCCATCCATCCGTTCACGCGTCCGTCCGTCCATTCTTGCATCCGTATGTGCGTCCGTCCGGGCATCCGTCCGCGTGTCCATCCGTGCGTCCATGCATGCGTCCGTACGTCTATTCTATCGTGCGTACATCCCTGCGTTCGTCTATGCATCCGCTCACAGCATATCCATGGAATGAGTGATGATGAGTGGGGTGAAGCGTCCATCAGTCCGTCCACGCTTTCTTCCGTTCGTGCGTCCATCCATCCGTCCCTCCGCGCGTCCATCTATGTATCCATCCGTGCGTCTATTCACTGTGCATTCGTCCATGTGTCCATCTGTCCATCTGTTCGTCCTCTCGTGCGTTCACCTATGCGTTCATTTATGCATCCGCCCCTGCGTTCGTCCATGCGTCCATCTGTCTGTCCATCATCACTCATTCCATATTGTTTATCACACTACAAGCAACGTCCTCTAGTGCCGTACCATTCGCATATTTGAGCGTATATGCATTTCGTTATATGTACGAGTACCACCCTTTACGACCGGTTCAAGAACTAACGAGAGGTGGCTACATACGATTACGACGGTACGCTCAGCCCACGCCTTAAGGAGCTTCGCCCCTAAAACACAAAAGACATACATCTCTATGTCTTTGTTAATTTTTCGGTCACCTGTTTTCTTACAGGGTTTCATGGTGATCGGTGAGCCAAGTGCAGTTTTCGACGCGGTCAACAAACAGGGGCTTCTGGAATTTTTTGAGTATGTATAGAACTGCACTATACTACGAAAGCTTGTCGCAAACAGAGCTCACAAGTTATAAGTACACAGTCATTGACGTAAAGCGCTTATGATACCTGCAAGGATAATTATGTATCTTGAAAACTGCGAGTAATGTTTTAGCCTGACTGCATAGTCCACACTTGCAAAACATTCTGGGTGCAGGTGCACAGCAAGATAACGTAGATTCCTCGGGAGATTGCTAGTTACATCTATATGTACGAGCCTACCATGTTTTATACAAAATTTATCAGTCGATCTCTTTATGATTCTTCCATTTCTACGGGTGGCGTTTAAACTGCTTCCTCGTAAATTTTTTTACTGTCACAGACCACCGATCATCTATTTCAGAGACATCGTGGCACTAATTCTAGCACTTTGCTCAGCCCACTAAGCTTTGCTTAACTAGTAAAAAGCTTGGCAGATAATTAGTACTGCCAGCTTCCTCACTCCGCGATTCTCCAAACAATCGCTTCTTGAGTAATAAATATTATGCTGCTAATATTCTGTTTGAAAAATTGTTGGAAATAGCTAGCTGGCCGTGCTGCAGCTCATTTGAAAAGGAAGGTTGTTTGTTTAGTCATTACCTGTATTATCTCCATCGATTGACAAAGTTCTCCGCAAATTATTGCGTCAACCTCACGAGCTGCGCAACTACCCGATGTTTCGAACTAAACTTCACCATTTTGAAGCATGGTGAACGGCCGAATGCGTAAAGAAGCATAGCATGGTGATAAATATTATTGGATTGGTGTATTATCATTTTATAAAACTACACATCGCGTAAAAACTTTAAATAGAACTAAATATAATTGATGGTGTAAATATATTTGCACACTTCTTGGCGTCAGATTTCCTTAATATAACGTTTCAGTACGAACGCTTGGTGCGCAAACGCTCTTTTTATTTGTTTTCAGACTTTCGTCCTGAATATAAAATGAAGTCTATCTACAGTGAAATAGAACCTAAGAGGTCTGGAGATGTTCCGGTCAGACGACCGTAAGGTGAAGGCCGGTCACCTCCGCAACTAAAGAAATAGAATCACTCGTGCACTCAGACAACTTCCAGCCATTCACACGGACGTCCAACTCATGACGTCCGTCTTAAGTGAGCCATCATTGGTGTATGCGAGTGTGCATTTGCTTTTGAGGAGGAAACCCGCAGGTGTCTCAAGTTGTATCCCACTGTAGTAATTATAGCGCGGTTTATGACTACACATCTATCTACTTTGTATGCACACATCAGTGCCAGTGCCATCTCACTTAATATTCTCCTCTACTTTGCAACACGCAAGCATGAGCTTGAACTTTCAGAAAACTTTCACCTTTTGGAGCGTCGTTGGCGGGAACTCCATCACGTGGATCTCGGGATTCGGCATGAACCAGGTCATGGTACAACGTTACTGCGGTCTTGCATCAATTCGCAAGGCACGAACGTGAGTACACAAGGCCACGGAGGGCTGCCTTTTCAATGGGGGAGCATTCCTTAAAACATCTATCTATCTATCTATCTATCTATCTATCTATCTATCTATCTATCTATCTATCTATCTATCTATCTATCTATCTATCTATTCTATCTATCTATCTATCTATCTATCTATCTATCTATCTATCTATCTATCTATCTATCTATTCTATCTATCTATCTATCTATCTATCTATCTATCTATCTATCTATCTATCTATCTATCTATCTACTATCTCTCTATCCGCTTCCGTCTAAGGGTTCTCGCGACGTCTCCTTAGCTTGGAACACACCAAAATTGGCATAAGACGACGTGAGTTACTGAGTAATACGACTGCAGGCCGTCACATCAATAACCAGACTTCCGGGTCCCATATATCCTGAAACGCGCTCCATCACTAGCGTGCGGCACATACCCACGGTATGCTCACGGCATACCCACGGGGCATACCCACAGCATAACGGCCCACGGTATGCTGGTATGCACCACAGGTGAACGATAGTATATATCGACCCACGCTTCGGAAACCATATCACAAAATATGTACGAACAAGACTGAAACTTGGGCCAGTTGGTCGTTTATTATATACGAAAACAATGATGAAGTGTATACAGCTCATGTGTTCGAGAATACAGTGCCAGGACTGGTGATGCCAGCATATTTAGAGCAGTTCCCTGCATCAGACCAGCAATTTTGCTAGTTTTAATAGTCAAGGATCATTCCATACATGAAAAAAAATTTGTAGCGTGCATAAACTGCAATACTTTGAAAATCGATGAAAAATAAAGAGAACCTTCAATTTCAATTCCCCTCCCCAAAATTAAACGGAACCACGTGTTTTAGCTTAATTTGTAAAAGACATCTTAAAATATTTTTGGTAAATCAGAGGTACAAAGAAACATAAAGTGAACAAATAATTTTATACGAAACAATAATGTGCCAGAATTCACCACATTTTCGATACCAATATTGTTGGTCAAGTTGGCGTCATGGCACTGTTCCACAATATTGCAAAGACGTCTTACGGTTATGCGCGGAGAGTTTTACTGGTTCCTAATTTTCTGCGATTATTAGTTTAAAGTGCGAGCTATAATCAAGCAACTGTTGTACGCGAGAAGATACGATATCGATGTAAATACCTGTCCTACATCTTTGTACGAAGCAGTGCGTGCTCGCTGGGCGCCGGAAGTCTCGAGTTTGTCTTGGTCCTAACGTTGGCGTTTTTTTCGCTATGTCATACTAAGCACGCAATCGCATGTGGCAGTTACTACGCGCTGTATACAGTGGCCTCCTAATCACAACACTCACCTTAATTCCTGCAAAAAAAAAAAAGGCTCGCTTCCAATTACGGGTGCCAAAGCTGAATCAGAGTGGGGAGCTTTGTTCTTTGTTTTTCTTTCAAACATGTGGCACGATCCCGTTCTGAGTAAACGGCTGAGAAGTCTTCGTTGCTTTGTTTTTTTTTCAGTTTTCTTTTTCTTTCGTGCTCCTTTCATTTAGTCCTTTCCAGTATTTTCGGTCTGTGTTTTTTTCCCTGTTCATTTCGATTTATTTATATCCGATTCCTATTTCTCTCCCTTTCGTCTGTTTCTTTCTTTGTGTCGAATGCTTCCTGCATGTTTTGCAAATTTTATACGATGTTTTATTCAAAGAACTCCGCACTTCATATCATAAAGGCGCTCGAGAAAGAAGTGAAGGAAAATTTCTGCTATGTGCGTGCGCATATTTAGTACCTGCATGATAGAGACGAATGTGCTATATGTAGCTTGATGGGCGTTACTATTATCATCAAGATGTTCGAATAGTAGGTGGAAGAGGACGCATATTTCTGCCCCTGGGTTGTCGGATGGATACTATGAGTATATCACTTATGATGGGGTGGTCACCTGTGTGCCACAAAGGTGGGGGAAAAATTAAATTTTTGTTAGGCATCTGCATTGTCTAAAGTGATTGTATATTTTTGCTACAAGTAAGAGTATGTAAAAAAACAAGTCGGCAGAACCAACGTACCTTGGGTATGGTAAGGAAAGAACGCGAATGGAAGGTGAACGATATTTTTTTTCTTTTTTGAGCGATACGTTATGAAGTGGCGCCTAAAGTATATGTAACAATTCACGCACTCAAGCATACCTTAAACAGCTGCATATGTTTATATTAGCAAATACTTACAGTTGCCAACATGCAACATGGTCAACAGCAACAAGGACATTAGCAACACCAGAAGCGGTAAGCTGTTATGTAGAGCTGGTGCTTGCGCTGGTGCGCCAAGAATGGTAGCCCTAAATACTTCTACATAAATCGATTTCAGCGGCGACCTTGTGGCATGAACATTCAAGGCATGACCAGCGGGTCGTTTTCGTCATATCATCTTACCCTCCGGTACAAATTTTGGGGCGCCAAATTTAAGCGGCGTGATCGTGAGAGCACCTAGACTTAGACGTAGACGTAGACGTAGACGTACACCGACCGACCGACTGACTGACCGACCGACCGACCGACCGACCGACCGACCGACCGACCGACCGACCGACCGACCGACCGACCGACCGACCGACCGACCGACCGACCGACCGATCGATAGACAGATAGATATATAGATAAAAAGTGCTTACAGTACGCAAAGAAGTTTGTCGCATTTAATACATTGCTCCTAAAGGTAGAGTGACTTTATTTTCTCGACTATTTATTGAGGCCGTTCTGCCTATATTTTCGGCACCATTCATCCAAACGCCTTTTACAGTTCTATCGCAGACCTGTTTAACTTTTCATTGTTGTCTCTTAAAATCAATACTTTGTGTAGGCTCGAGTTTCTAGGACATACACCCGTGTAAAGAATATCTACGAACAATTCTAGCACATAGCGACACCTTGTGCCTTTATTGAAAATCCCTCTTTCTCGAAGTAGCGACAGCAGTCGAGTGAGAGCAGCAGATGTCTTGTATTCGATAACATCGCCGAACTCTCAGTAGGAGCTTACGTAGCATCGGAGTGGTGGTCCCGAAGAAATAAAATTTGATAACATAGTCACTGCGCGCATGGCAGAAGAGATTCCGCGCCAACTTCCAAGATCATTTCGAATGCCTTCAAGTATACAGTAAAAATGACTAAATATAATTCATGAACTGCAGTTTCAATGCTTGCCGCATTGTAATAGTCTATTAGTTAAGTTACGTGATGATTTACAAGTATACTTTCACAAATCATGAACGACAGTCAGAGGGAGAGGTTGCTTTTCATGAAATTTCATTTCATTCTTAGAAATTGACCTATTTCGAAATGGTCCACATTGTTTGGTAGAACATCCGAATATTTATGACTTTTGAGTAAGAAAAAGAGCTCTATGTAAAGCACAATATTTTTCTCGACATATGTGCTAATATCTACATGTTACGTACAGAAGCAGAGGTCGAGGATAGAAAATTCCAAACAGCAGGCATACAGGAAACAAAAAAAAAAACATGCTGTCATAATATTGACACTTTAGATAAACGTACCTGGGGAATACAGGCCTGTTTATAGCTTATCGATTAGGTTAATGTGCTTGGCTAACTTAAAAACCAAAGATTTAAACTTGATATTGCTGCGTAGAAGAACGCATAGATACAAGTGCCTTTCCGAGATGTAGTGCTACATGGAAAGATGTACTCATTCTACTCTTCAAACTGTAAATTGCGGTATCATTCGAAGTAGAACTCTAATGTCTGGTTTCTGACTAGCACCAGTCCCGACGACAATGTTAGTCTCTTAGCGTCTCGTAGCTAACGGTCGTAAAATTTTTTACCCTCTCCTTATCCACACACCTAGCAAGCGCTTAAGAATGTGTCCTCGTCTCTTGTGCACTTGCAGGGCGCTTTACATCAATATGCTGGGAGTATCATCAATACTGACGATTTCATCGCTATGTGGCCTGTTGCTCTTCGCGCTCTATCACCGATGTGACCCGCTCAAAGCAGCCATGATAACCAAGTACGACCAGGCAAGTTAGAGAGAATACTTGTAAGTGGTGGCGGTAATGCAGATTATTACCGAATAGGAGTGCCAACATTGGTGAGACTCGTATATTCACGTGCTAATTATTCATATGGTCATTTCCTAAACAAACGATCAAAGAATTTCTAGTTTTAAAAACGTCCCACCGGAGTGTACCTTGATGGTAATTTATCCCAGAAAGTGTAAAATGCATGAAGGCCGTTCGGGGCAAAGAAAGACTAAACAAGAGAGTGCCGAAACAAGATGCAGTGTTTTTTCCCTTCGCTTTAACCCCACTATGTGTGCATTGTTACTTTTCTAAGATGGAGACATATGTTTGGATGTGAGCACGGTAAGGGGAAAAAATCACTAATATGAAATCACATATGAAGGTCACTTGCCTGTTGCCACAACCACCTGATTGATACGCACGTACAAAATCAAGATACCGATTGCGCAACATGGCTAGCCTGTGCAGCAAACTCACTTGCGTTTAATAATAGATTACAGTTTAAAATTCTGTATATTACTTTGCTAATATTGTAATGATGGAAAACTGAAGCTCCTATGGTAACAATGTTTTGAAATAATTACAACAATCAGCATGTTAATCTAAATAAACTAACTGGATATAAAACATTTCTTTCGCATCATAGCTATATGAAACGTTAAAGAAACTATTTATTGAGTGCAGGATGGTGGTTTTCACTTGTTTCTGTAGACAGCAACGTGCTATCTGTTTTTTTTTCTTTTTGAGGGGGTGTAGTAGGGGGAGATTTATCTACTATAGTGCATACTAGTGCTGTTGGTATTTCTTGTTTACTCACTAAGAACAATAGCACCACCTTTGTCTATCTTTTGGTCACGCAGCAATGATCACCATGCATCTTTACTGCTTCAGATATTCAAGAAAAGGAGTTGGGCGAGAGCAGAGTTCTAACGTTTTTATTGGTGCTGATATCAATTATGAACACAGTTGATGCCGCACTTTGTGATGGAGACGTTGGGTCACCTGCCTGGAATCACGGGGCTTTTTGTCGCGGCAGTTTACAGTGGGATCGCTCAGGTAACACTCCATGTTACTAGCATTGGCGTATTTTGGTGGTATGTCTAAGATTTTTTCACGTAATCTTGTTTGCAAAAGAGTTTAGTCTAAATAATCATCACTTGTAAGTAGTGTACTCAAGCTAAAGCAAGTATAGCGTTAACAATATAATTTATGTTTCAGTAAATTCAATTTGTTGGTTAATTTTGGATTGCATTATTTGTTGCTTCGTTAAGCCACATATTTTATGCAATTATCTTTGTGTCAATCGAAGATTTTGTTGAAATCACTCGACTTTTGGATCCTCGTATACGTCATATATTTAAATACCTAGTTTAAGATGAACCTAAAGTAACCCGAGAAGTAAACTGACTTACTTTGTTTTCTTTTAATTCAGCACGTTGTCGTCTGGGTACAACGCCTTGGCCGCCATCGTCTGGGAAGACTTCATAAAGCACATTGTGAAACTCTCTCCCAAAGGTGTCATGTGGGCAATGAAGGCCATCGGTAAAGTATAATTTTTTTATTAGTTTCTTTGGCATCAACATGAAGCTGATCTTCTTAATATGCAACTTAAGGCGAACCTGTATTCCTTGTAGCAGATGCTCGCGATAACACTACAGAGAAATCTACATCTATGACATCTACTCTGTGCTTGATTTAGGCAGGGTTGGGACTTCGAAAGTGTGTTTAAATTTGACTCTAGAAAAATGGCAATAAAAGCTGTGGCTATAAAGTTCGAAGGCATTTATAAGGTAGACGCAAGTTAAACTGGAACTAAAATTAGTTTCAAGATGTGTTCAAGGTTTCAATTTTTTTTTGTTCTCGACATGCCTAGCTTTTGTTAAAATGTTCAATCGACAGGGCGTTAAAGTTTTGTTCAAAGGTGGTTATACTTATGCTTTATAGGAGGGAATCTAAAATCATGAGCGTACCATGAGAGCTAGATATGTTTTTTATGTTTCTTTTGTATGAAAATTGCCACTGATTAATGATATTTATCTAAAAATACAGTTGTACCTAGGCTGCTGATATCTAGTAATAATTATGTAAACGCCTCTAAGAAACCAATCTGAGGATTTCTGCTTGCTTATGATTGACAGACCCTGAGAACAATGCACGTAAACTCCAAAAATGTTGTTATGAGCAAAATGCAGAAATGACGTTGGAACAACACACATTTGCAGTCATCATGTCAAAGAAAAAAGGCCAAGATTATTTTCAAGCCATGCGTGCCCAGGTGCAATGTATCTTCTAAAAAATAGAGAAATTCTTTATTTGGGGATTGAAAAATTTTAAAACTGATTTTGTTTTGACGAAGGGAAGTCACTCCCCAGCTTGAACATTGCAAATGGGTGGTCCTGAAACAGCCACAACAATAGCGGAGATTTCGTGGCGTAATGGTCATGGCTCCAGACGTTTTACCACCACCGTACAAAATTTATACATTAGAAAGCTTTTGCTACTGCTAGTATTAACGTTGTAATTGTGTTTATTATTAATTGATGGAGCTATTTATGCATTGTTTTCAAAACGAATCAGGAAGACAAAAAATATTTCACAACATTTTGGCTCACTTTTATTGTCACTAACTGTTTGACTAGACGTCTTTCTTTGGCAAGCTACAATAGAAGGAGCAATACAAGCGGTCGTTGTACGAAAAAGAAAAAATAATATAGTACGTCATCCTAATTAGGTATAAATGTACAGCTCCTGAACAGATTCTTAGCTATGCGCGTTGTTCTGACTTCTGTTTTTTTTTATAAACGACACTAAATGGAACACAAATCTCCGTTTCAGCTGCCGGTTTTGGTCTCATCGCGGTGGTCCTGGCGTTCCTCTCCGCGAGCCTGCCTTCTGTCTTATCGGTGAGAAAATTCTGAGCTGACGCTTTAACGTTTGTGCAGGAGTTTGAATGATTGAAGAAAAAGATTATAATGCCGCTGCATTGTCATCTCCACCACTTTGGAAGGGGGTTTATTTGACCATGTAGAGTGAGTAGCAGGTAGAACACCAGCATAGCGACAAGAAGGCGAACGGGCTCTCTGCCAACAACTCGCAATCGGCGCTCGCGCTTCGCGCAAACAGAGCGCCTCACTTGCGAATGTCTGTGTATTTCACAACTACACCGAGTATAGGAAAGCGGGTGCATAAATTTGACGCAGAAAAAATTACGGATGGCCGTTTTTGAGTCTGAAAATATATACTCCGCCTAAGTGAGCTATTGCCAAAGCAATTATTGCAGCTTCTTCCGCCTAGATTATCTGAGTTACTTTGTCGTAAAGCGGCACACCAAAGTAGTTTGTGAACATTATTTGATACAGTCACTGCAAAATGCGGATGACGGAATATTTTGCGTCGTCTACATAAGCGACCGTGGTCGAAGATTCGTATAGCCCCTATGAGGCAACCTTGCTATTCTCTGGCCGTGATTATAGGTGGAATGGGTACTTTCGGTTGGGGTGAGATAAAAAAAAAGAACAAAAGAACGAACCTACCGGACTATACGACACATGAACGTATTAAATTAACAACGTAAATAAAGAGACCCAAAGATAATGTTATGATTACTTCAACGCTGTATAAACTTTATTCAGACCTATATGTGATATGTGACTCAATGTTACTTGACAGGCTGTTTTTGTCACGACTGGATCAATTAAAGGTGCAACTGGCGCGGTATTTATCCTCGGTCTCCTGCTTCCCTGGTGCGGAAGTGAGGTGAGTGCGTTGGTATTAATGTCCACTCGTGTGTATTCATGTGTAATGGACAGCTTGTCAAGAAAAGCCCACCAAATTGTGATGACGGTATCGGAAGTGGTGACATATATTTTTTTCACTGCAGTAGCTGTAGCGCATAATATGCTGTATGCATTCCTTCTAACCAAGCTGAAGACAGTAGTGCCCTCTAGGTTTTTTTTTAGTCACCACAATATCTAATAATTGCGACATTCACGCCGCGAACTGCGTGTGCTCTATCAGCCACACATAAAATTAGTCATGGGATAATAGAAATCACTGAGTTTTCAAGGAAGGAAACCCAGGTGTGTCACGTGGGGATTAATACGGTTCACATGCACTCAGCGATTCGCGGAACAGTTTCTGCGGAGCTTGAGACTGTTTATACTTCAGGCCGTCACCATGGACTTACATTGCAACACACTCAGTTGAGTTATAATATGTCAGTATAGATAATGTTTCTTTAACAACCAATGTGTTTTCGGTTTACGTCATTGGCGTGACCTATAGTTACGCCAACGAAATAAACAGAAAACAGAAAACATAAACAGAAAACAATAAATTGCTCCCAAAGGAGATCATTTAAGAAAACCATTGTGAGCAGAATAGGCAGCTTCATGTAACTGCTGCAAAATTAGGTAATTTGCTATCCGCTAGTCTATCAACAGCTTAAGAACGGATACAAAATGATGAGAAAGGCTGTCGTTGGGAACAAATGGTTACGTAAAGTGACTCGTAAAGTGGGTCAGAGAGCAAACATAAGTTGAGGAAGTCTTATTTGTATTCAAGAAGAAGAAATTAGCATGAGCAAAACATAAACGCGTATGCAAGATAAACAGTGATAAATATGAGTAACAGACTGTGTTTTCAGCGAAAGCAAGTGCGCAAGAAGTCAAGTGGGCAAATGAGATTAGGAAGTTTGCTGGGATAACGTGGCTTCAGCAAGCACAGGACCGTGACTTACTGGCGGAGCATGGGAAGGATCTTTACTCTGCAGTGGGTGTAGTTAGGCTGATGATGATGATTTTAGTGATCATGACGAAAGTGAGTTGGTGGCACAGAGTGAATAGGCGAGCAGGGCATAGGTAATAGGAGAAATGCTTTAAGAGTGTTATTCTTGAGTGTCGTACGACTCACCAGGGCATCTATCATTACTGTACTATCAACAGAAAGCTTTGGAGGGCGTTTGATCTGCAATAAATGCGAATTTCTGCTATATCCAAGCTAAATTCTTGTAATAAAGCTGGTGACTGTATAGGTCGGAATGCCAAGTGCAATATGGGGCATTTACTTTGAAATTATATTCCCAGACAAAGCGGGAATTCAGCTTTATCGGGAATTCCACGTCCCGCAAACTTTTGCTGTTGAGTACATCATTCACAACTAGAGAAATGTCTGTGGAGCTAGTATCTGTTAACATATATATGAAAAATAAATAGAATACGACAATGAAGATACAAAGACATGACCAGAATCTAATAATTTACTTGACGAAATATAAAAAAGACTGTTGTATATTCTGAACACACCGCTTTCACCGGCACCTAACCAGACTGTAAACACATTGGCCAACACAATAATATTTCTAGGCGAATAACCCATAACCTCGTTTTCCACGTGACGCAGTATTATACGTTACACTACATTCTTAGATTTCCGGTGATGTTATCATCCACGTGGTACCATTCACGTCACTTAACACTTGATGTCGTACGCGTTTTCATAATGTAAAGTGCAGTTAAAGGCAATGTAGCGTGACACATAGACCCGAAAACAGCTTATGGAGTTTTATTTTGGTGATAGGATTTCACCGATGAAAGCTTAGCATCTTGGTCAAAAGTAAATGCGTCTGGTATGTTTTATTGCATTGCCATAGTCTAATACGCCATTCAAGTTTTTCACCAATTTTTCAAATACTCCTGCAGGTCGCTATGTCGTCAATGTTTGCGGGATTTGGGTTGGCATTGTGGGTGGCTGTTGGACGTCTTCTGTACCCTGCCAAGCCCAGTGGCGCCCGCACCACCCTTGAGGAGTGCGCCTTCAACTACACGGCTACTCTTCCTGTTCAGCGGAGTTACTTCTCAGGGTGGGTCAAGGTTACTTAAGGAATGATGTCGTAGCATTAGGAGGTCAGTAACAGCCGACTTGTTCCTCAATAAGACGACACGCAGCCATGGCATGAACTTCATTCACTACGGAAACTCAAGCAGCCAGCGAGTCAGTTGCACAGACAAGTGGTTTTTTTATTGTTTTTTTCCCTCTGACAGCGCCTATGAAAGAGATACTTGGTGGCACCGATATTTTCTACAGTCAATCTTTATCATTTAAAGCAACCTGACAGTCTATAGCGTGAACGTGATCGAAGCGTGCATTTTTTTTCCTTTCAAGAAAATTGAGGACAGCAAGAAGCGTGCTACGATGCAGCACAAAGCTGCTATCCCAGCATAAATGAGGAAATTCGTGTCCCTAATCCTTACCACCTGCTTTCCGTCTGATAGCTTTATGAATAAAATGTACCTGTCCATATCTCACCCTTTGCAGCCTGGGCTTGTGAAGTTCTTAATAGCTTTCATGTTTGTATGCTTAAAAAATTGCACAAGAAAAAGGTGGTTCACTTATCTACGATAACTGGAAGCTGGCGTTGACCTGTTGATTTCACCCCTTTACTGATTCCGCCCCTTTTTATTCTTTCTAAACGTTCTTCTTAATATTCGCGTCTACTGTCATAATTTGGCATCGCTAAACGTACCCTTGCAGAAACTCCGGAGATGGCCTGAAAATCACCAGTTTTATAATCAACTCTGCATACTAAGTATGCAATGATTTTCAGCTAAACTTTAAGACTTCTTGGCGGTGGTCTGCAGACTTCTTATCTTTAGGGAATAAACTGACTTCTTATTCATAGGCAATAAAAAAACACAACTTTCACGGCCATCACTAATATTTTGATGTTAGAGCACTTACAATGAAGATACTGTTACATCGATTCCGCTTAAACATTCGAAGGTATTCACGATGGCTACAACACACACACACACACACACACACACACACACACACACACACACACACACACACGCACACGCACACGCACACGCACGCACAGAGAGAGAGAGAGAAAGAGAGAGAGAGAGAGGGACAATGTGCGTGCACCAGAGGCACGTTAGGCTAAAGAACATTCTGTAAAACTACCTGACATACCCTGATGGTAATCCTGTTTGTGCACTTAACAATGTGTCGTCACCCTGCAATGTTTTTAAGCGCATACATTACAGCCATCGCGAAAGTGGTGTTGTGCCCGTTTAGATAGAAGTTTCGTTTCCTGTCTTGCAGGGGAGTATACGACTTGTACCACGTGTCCTACATGTGGATACCGGTCATCAGCTTCTTCGTCACGCTTGTGGTAGCTATCTCCCTCACGGTAATTTTCTGTAAGTTGACTCGTTTTCTTCTTTCAGTGCAGTTTTGTTAGTGTACAAGTAATGCGGAATCATTTAGCACGCGAAGTATCTTCGCGATATGTTCAGTGGTAGGATTCTTATAAAACTTGAATTTATGAAAAGTAAAAAAAAAAGTGCCCCAGCAGTTATGCTGAAAGAAATACAATCAAGAGAGGAATTTTCTTTTTGAAATTTGCTGTCTATGGCTGTCACATATACATTTCGTTTCACCTACAGCACGAGAACCGTATCAGCTTCTTAGAAAAGAAATTTTTGAAGATTTAGATATTGACACAAAATGATTAGTAAGCTTTATTAGCGACTTTCAAGAAATCAAGAACCACGTGAGGCCAGCTGCCTTCGCCATTGGGTCGTATGTATCTTCTTGTGTGTGTACGGTCCGACGCGGCGGGCCAGCCGCCGAACCACCTGAACGTTTAACTGAACCAATGTGTGGGATGCGAGAAAGCGTCAATATTCTTCACTTTTCCCCTTTTCGTTAGTCGTTTCCTCTGGCGGCGCATCTAATGTACCCGCCATGACAATACATGAATTACCCGCCCACTTCCGGTGACTCTCCGTCGTTCCTTTCTTCTTTTTCGTTTTGTTGTCTGTCGATAGCTTCGTTAGTTTGATATTTCTCTTCTTTTTGTGGCCCCTAACTGTGACGGTGGCCCTGTGCTACGGGTTGTGCAACTTGTGCCATTTAGCTTACATCCTCAGAAGAACGCTGGATCAATAGCCGACACTGTTAGGAATAAATAAAGAAATAATTGTTTTGTTTCCCATGCACTACTCTAAAAAATTATATATATATATATATATATATATATATATATATATATATATATATATATATATATATATATATATATATATATATAAAGAACACAAGCGAGTACACGTACGAAAGAGCAATACTTTTATGCCAACGTTTCAGCCGTGGCACGGCCTTCGTCAGGGTTTCCCTGACGAAGGCCGTGCCACGGCTGAAACGTTGGCATAAAAGTATTGCTCTTTCGTACGTGTACTCGCTTGTGTTCTTTATACGTACCAGACCCCTTGAACTTCCTGCTGAATATATATATATATATATATATATATATAATAATGAGATATAACAGACAGTAATGCCAAGGAATGTACAGGGGAAGTTATTAACATTAATGGAATGTAAATAAGAAGAAAGAAAAGTGGATGAAAAAATTACCAACTGTAAGCAGGAATCGAACCTAAGGTCGTAGGTTCGATTCCTGCTTACAGTTGGTAATTTTTTCATCCACTTTTCTTTCATCTTATTTACATTCCATTAATGTTAATAACTTCCCCTGTACATTCCTTGGCATTACTGTCTGTTATATCTCATTATTATTGTGTTAAAAACACGGAAAAACGAGCCCTTAGGTATACACTTCTTTCCCTTATATATATATATATATATATATATATATATATATATATATATATATATATATATATATAAGGGGGCTTGGCTTTCACAGTTTTGTTTTCCTGTGACATTCCACTGCATATGACGCAAAGTGTCCCGACTTTCAGGACGCCGCCTGCACTTGCATTTACAGCGGAGAATTAAAATGTCACTAAACGCCAAATCGCTACTCGTCTAACCACTACCACCTAAAATAAGGTATATTTACCATAACGATGATTTCAAAAGTAGTTCAGTACTAAACATCTAGTGCAGGGGTAGACTTCGAGTACTCAGAAGACAGACCCCAGAGGTCGCTATTTTTAAGCGAAGTAACTAGGTTGTTTCTCTGTAGTGCGCAGTGGTGCTACAATGAATGTCTGCGGTTTCCTTGTCTTTATGCAGCGTTTAAGAAGTCCGTCGATGTAGATCCGAGCTTGATATCACCTTGCATGAGAAAAATATACCTGATGATCAAAACCCACAAAAAGGAGCAGTCAGCCAAGGAACAGACACCTGTTTCGATGAAGATGGAGGTATGTATATGACATTTAAACGTAATTAGAATGTCAACAATGATTTAGTGTTGTTGGAGCTCGAATTTACCCGAAAAAAATGGCATAAGCTGATATACAAGAAGTCAAATAAACAGCTAGCAGTGACAGGAAAAGTACTGAAATTCTGAATTTCGCTTCAAAATAGATTCGCAGCTCTAAACAATCTCACCGACGTTAGTATTGAAATAATGAACAATAATCTCACTAGTACCATCAAAAAAGTGTGCAATTGAAGTCGACGTTACTACCACTAAACAGGAGACTGGAAAACTATCCCAGGAGACAAAAAATGTCATTAAGATGCGACACACCACGAAAACCTAAAATGTAACCGAGAATACAGAGCAAGTGGAGCTTTCGAAGTTAATCAATAGGCGTAAGGTAGCTGACATCAATAGGTATCACATGGAGAGAATGGAGCAAGCTGTAAAAAGCGGCAGAAACCTAAAAGCTGTGAAGACAAAGTTGTGCATAGCCAAAAATCAGATGTATGTATTAAGCAACAAGGCAGGCAGCGTCATAACCAATATAAAGAGGACAACCAAGGGGCGGAGGAGTGCTTCAGCGAGCTGTACAAAAGCCGAACCAACGAGGTTGATATCATAAGAAGCAATAATAGGCCAGAAGAATTCGCCTTACAAGTAGCGACAGTGGAAGTAATAAAAGCACTAGACAGCATGCAGAGAGACAAAGCCACTCGTGAAGAAAAGGTAACAACGAACTTGCTGATAAATGGCGAAAAAATTATGTTTGAAAAACAGGCCACCTTATATACGAAGTGTTTGTTTGACGGGAAGGGTACCAGACTCTTGGAAGAATGCCAACATCATCTTAATCCAAAAGAAAAAAAAAGATATCAAGAAATTGAAAAGTTACAGGATGATTAGCCTACTCTCCGTTGTCTACAAACTATTTACAAAAAACTAATAGCTAATAAAATCAGGGTGGTATTAGAGTTCAATAAACAAAAGGAACAAGCAGGATTTCGTACTGGCTACTTCACAGCGGACCATATTGCTACTATCGATCACGTTGAAACATCGGCAAGGATGCAGGCACTACGGAATCAAGGCGTCGACGAACCCTACGCAAACATACTGAAAGAAACATGCAGTGGATCCACAGCCCCCATCATAGTCGTCCATAAAAAAAGCGTCGGAATCCCAACAAATAGGGATGTAAGGAAAGGAGACAAGATCTCTCCAATGCTATTCAGCGCGTGATTAGAGGAGGTTTTTAGGACCCCTGATTGGGAAGAGTTAGGAATAAGATTTATTGAAAAGTATCTTAACATGCGATTCGCTGATGGCATTGCCTGGATGAGTAACTCAGGGGACGAATGACATCTCGTGATTACTGAACTGCACACAGAAAGAAGAGTAGGTCTGAAAATTAGTGTGCATAAAACTAAAGTAATATACAACAGTCTCGGCGGGAAACAGCGCCATGCCATAGGTGCAGCGACGCTGAAAGATGTGAAGGAATATATTTACTTAGGACAGGCAGCAATTGTGGAACCGGAACATCAGAGCGAAATAACTATAGAAGAATAAGGATGGGGTTGACCACATTCGGCAAGCATTCTGAAATCAAGAATGGTAACCTGCCACTAGCCCTCAAGGAAAAGGTACATAACAGCTGCATATTTCTGCACCAATGAAGCAGAAACCTGGAGGCTTACAAAGAAAGTTCAGCCTAATTTGAGGATGGCACAGTGAGTAATGCAAAGGAAAGTGATAGGTTTAACCTTAAGAAACAAGGAGAGAGCAAGCAGGGTGGGTCAGGGAACAAACCGGTGTTAAGTGTATCATCGGGGAAATTGAAAAGAAATAATAGACCTGAGCCGGGCATGCAGCACGTAGGCAAAATAACCACTGGTCGTTGAGAGTAACTAACTGGATTCCAAGAGAAGGCAAATGCACTTAGGGGAGACAGAAAGTTAGCTGGGTCGATGAAATTAAAATGTTCGCAGCTATAACATGGCAGCAGAAAGCACAAGACTCGGTTGATTGGTGGATCGTGGTACAGGCCTTTGCCCTGCAGTGGGTATAGTTAGTCTGATGATGATGATAAAGAAGATGATGATGATGGTATGATGATGATTTCCACAAAAAGTAAAAATAATTAAATGAGTGAGGAGCTATAACATGCAGTGTTTGTATATGTAGGTGTTGGCTCACAAATAAACCTATAACTTACGCCTACCCAATACAGGCACCTGAATTTTTTGTGTGCCCTCGATACTTCGACTGCGAGAACGAATCAAGCGCTGCCAATAAAGTGCTTCCAGACTAAAAGATGTAAGCTCTGCTTGACGGCTGAGTTGGAATAATAATAATAATAATAATAATAATAATAATAATAATAATAATAATAATAATAATAATAATAATAATAATAATAATAATAATAATAATAATAATAATAATAATAATAATAATAATAATAATAATAATAATAATAATAGTAATAATAATAATAATAATAATAATAATAATAATAATAATAATAATAATAATAATCTCTGGGGTTTTGCTTCCTAAAAGGACGATAGGATTATTAGAGACACAGTAGTGCGGCGCTCTAAATATTTTGACCATGTGATGTTCTTTAAAGGGTATGTCATCGCACAGTACATGGGCCTTTACCATTTCACGTCTACTGAAATGTGACCACCGCGCCCGGAATCGAACCCACGACCTCGCATCAGCAGCCGAGAGCCCTATAGCCGCTGTTCTACTGAATGGGACGCTGAGTTTTAATAGGCAGGTCATAAAAAATGATGGAGAAGCCGGTATAAATTTTAGGCGAGGAACAGTACCGCAAAAGTAACAAAATCAAGCGCACTTAAAAAGAAGTGATATGTGGCTCCATTGTTGGTATCGTGCAGTTTTGAAAAAAAAACGAAAAACGCACCATGTAGTTCTTTTTGCTAAGAATTCGCTTGTCTCCGATATAACCCTCTTGATAAGTAGCCCGTTAAATTCCTGTGGAGATAAGCTCTCTTGTAAGTGTCGTTAAAAGCTCGACTTTCCAGGTTAGGCTTAACCTGTATGTTTAACCAGAGTAAAATATGTGACAAGCGGCTACTCACTAGAAAGAGCAACACGCACTATTAATTTATTAGTGCATGCCAATAAGCCTGCGGAGCTTTCGTGCAGCATCTGTCCTAAAATGTGGTAGTCGTAGTTTATGATCTTCTGTGTTGGCTGAGCGGGCAGCTTGATTGGACCGTTCATTGCCGATGATTCCGCAGTGACTGGGCAACCACTGAAATGTAATTTGGTGCCCTTTCTCAGTCACGTGGTTTATAACCTCTGCTATCTCTAGTACCAGCTGCTCGTGTGGTCCACGGCGTAAGGCTGATAGTAGGGACTGCAGTGCCGCCTTCGAGTCGCAGAAGATAGTCCACTTGCGTGTAAGTTGATCAACTACAAATTGCAACGCGGCACGAAGTGCTGCCAATTCTGCTGCAGTTGATGTTGTTTCGTGAGAATTTAATTGTCGTGGCCAACCTTGGGATCACTTCTGCTCCTGTAGAGCTGTCCGGCTGAACCGACCCATCAGTGTGTATGTGTGTGGAGTCTTTGCATTTCTCATACAAGAGAAGTAATGTGAGCTGTTTAAGAGCCGGTGACGACAAATTGGCCTTTTTATGGACGCCAGGTATGTTAATACTAATCATTCGTTGAGCGAGACACCATAGCGGATTCGCAGGTCTAGCGGCAGGAGAGAACGAATTTGGGATCGAATCACCATGTGCGGTCACTGTTTTGCAGTAAGACGTGCATGGTCGGACCATTGGTAGAGAAGCTGGGTGATGTCGAGGAGTTCGAGCAAGGTGTCGTATATGTGTCCTCAGCACTTCCACATTAATGTGGGTCTTGATAAGGTGGTCCCTTGTGATGGCGGTAGTTGCCGCTGTTGATGCACTTTGGGGCAAGCCTAAACATATCCGGAGTGCTTGAGCCTGGACACTTTGAAGCATTCGTATGCTTGTTTTACTTGCGTTGGTTAACACAGGTAGGCTGTACCGAAGGAATCCAAGGAAAAGAATCCTGTTTAGTCGCAACATAGCAGCTGTGGACATTCCCCAGTTCTTTGAAGCGAAGAACTTGAACAAATGACAGATGCCTGTGAATCGCCTTTTCATGTATGATACATGTGGGCTCCACGAGAGGTCTCTGTCAATTATAACACCTAGGAACTTGTATGATCGGATGTGACGTGTCCTTTCACTGTTTATCAGAACGCTGTAGTTCTGCATTGGTTTGCGCGTAAATGCCACAAGTGCACATTTCTCAGAGGAAATTTCCAGACCTCGTTGACGGAGGTAAATAGCAAATTGAGTTGAAGCTCTCTGAATTCACGCTCGCAGCTCTAGACGTGTTACCGCAGACGTCCAAGCGCAGATGTCGTCCACGTACATTGACAATCTGACAGTACTTGGCAGATGCTCATTGAGAGCTATTAGCGTCAGGTTGAATAGTACAGGGCTAAGTATGCCACCCTGGGGAACACCACAGTGGCTGTATTGTAGCGAAGTGTCACCATCCTCGGTTCTCACGAAAAAGGATCGCTCAGAGAGATAGCTGCGTAGCCACTGAAACATCCGACCACCCACTCCTACCTCCTTGAGAGCGGTGAGGACAGCTTCATGTGTGACGTTATCGTACGCCCTTTTAACATCAAGAAATAAAGAAGCGCAGAGATGCTTACGGCCTTTTTCGTCTTGCACGTAGCTGACCAGGTCCAGGACGCTATCAATTGATGACCGGCCACGGCGAAATTCCGTCATAGCGTACGGGTAGATGTTGTGATGCTCCAGGAACCATTCTAGCCGTCCTAGTACCATCCTCTCCATTACTTTGCCCAAGCAACTAGCCAGTGCAATCAGGCGCATCAAACACATCACAATGTAGTCAGCAAACCACGTCACAATAGAATCAGCCACACTTCAAGCATGCTCCACTGCACTCGCTTGACCCTACTCAAGTCTTCAAGTCCCGTCAAGGCTTTGCCGAGCAGACCAGACCCTATTATGTAAGCTGTGGTTGCGCGTTGCGTTTACCAACGCCTACGCTTTCTGCATTGGGATGGCCGACACCGCAGCCTGTAGCCACTGTGCCAAAGAAAAAACGATCCAACATATTCTTTGTGACTGCCTAGTGTATAGTAAACAACGACTATGCCTTCGCAAGGAACTCAGAAAATTAGATAATCAACCTCTGTCGAAGCAAGGAATTCTACAATATCGACAAGATGCAACTTCACAGAAGAAGGCCCTGAAAGCGCTACTACACTTTTTGCGATGGACCGGCCTTACTGAACGGTTGTAGCTAGGACGCCCTTCCTGTGTGTGTTTTCGTTTTCACATGAGTGCGCGTGCGCCCTTCCTCGCGGCCCTTCCTTTCTCTCTCTCTCTCTTAGTGCATGCCCACATTTTTTTTACGTACTATAGATCTCCTGAGCGTTTGTGTTTCTTTCTCGTGTTACAGGAAACATCTGATCCGGCGGTGCCCAGTGTTGTCAGCGGAAGTGGAAACGGTTACACGAATCACGCCATGACAAGTGACAACGACGTTGAACGAACAGACATTTAATCGTTAACAACAACCAATGCAGTTATGTTGTAGACTTTAGCGATGTATCCCAGTATGTGAGTCTCGAAAAGTTTATTCGAACTCTCGCTGTTACATATTGCAGCGCACTGGAGGTACGAGTTATGTATATATAAGAAAGAGGCATATTTACCGTTTGAATGTATAACGCGTTCATTACAAGATAAGCTAAATGAGGTGCCTCTGCTTCGTGTTTGCAGTAGTGTCGCAGACATATTTCTTCGAAATTTTGTGATAGCATGTTGAGCGTTGCATTTATTGGGTACTCGTGAATTTCCTTCACTCTGGCGAGAATGGATGCCCCAAGAAGTTTTTTTTTTTGCTTTTTTATTAACCCCATAGCGTTAAAGAGGTCGTGTCACAGAAAGTCCGGCATTTGTGTCGGTGTAGGCGTCATTGATTGTGAGCGGAATATTATCATCTTTGCATGACCTAAAAACTTAGAAAGATGCAAATAAAGTAAATAATAAGAAACTCTGTGTATCAGAGGGGATTGAACGCTGGCTGTTTTCGCGGGAAGTGGGTGTACCACCACAGCCATGCCTGTTTCCCCCCCTCTATTTTCGGTTAAACTTCACACACAGGATGATGAGCTAAATATTACGATAAACTACAAACATGACACAACCATTACTATTTGCGTCAAGCACTGCTAAAGCACATCACACCTCAAAATTTCTTTATAGTAAGCAGGGCTTTCTTTTTAATCACAAAAGAACACATGTGTTTGTTCTTACTACCACTAGAGACGTTGATATGCTTTCTTTGCTTTGCGGGTCTCCTGTCAGGGTCACAGTGAAATCCAGTCATTCGAGAGTGCCATATACTGTGCAAGATTGTCATAATGATTTAATCAAAATGTAACCCATCACCATTCTCAATTTTTTGTTTGTTTTGCATAGAAACACAACCACGCTTCTGCTTGTGGAACAGTGACAATAATTCTCTCTGATTAGAAATGCAGTGAAAGTAACTTTCATTCAACACGAACACACGCGTCCTGTATACATGCTTCACAAACCAATATGAAGAATTGTCCTAATGATGCGTGGTTGAAGCGTGCATTGCCATCGGCCGTAAGAACATGATATTGTCACACTGACTCCATCGTTTAAAGCCAGTCATCCACTTCTAAAGGTGCATTCGTAACTACACCCTCAATGCCACGTAGTGGTTGGATAGCAAGTTCAAAGATATTTCATACACTAAGTGTTTGAAATACGCACTAGGGACCAAACATTGCGATCGTGTTGAACTCTTGAAGAAAATTGGGGGAGCTTAACGCTCCCCCAAATTTTTTTCCTCATTGTAATCGAGTAATGACGAGCCGATAGTAGTATATTTTCGACAGCGTTATATTTTTGTTGTTTTTCGTTTTTATTGGAGTTCATCGTCTTCCTAGTACGTTTCTATATGTATGATCATATGTATGTCTATATTTGTGTCTATAGCTGTGCCTATTGCAATATGTATGTCTCTATCAGTGTCTATGCGAGTGGTTTATTGATTGTCTTATTTCGCATTAAATCACGATAACTTAGGAGTGCACACGCGTTCACATCGACTCCAGTAATCATCGTACCTAGCAGCGGTTAAAATCATGTGACTGCCAGTGAAACTACAGGAATTGTGCAGGAAGATGTCAGGTACACGCTGACACCACCTTTTTGAACAAGCGATCCCGGTGTCCTCTGAGAAGTGAAGACCTTCGGCAGAGCATGCCAACCCACCATGCTAAGCCTCGCGGCGAAGCGGAACGCGGAGCCCTGGCAGACAGCTCTCGGCATACGCGTCGCGCTGCGCCTGCCCGAACACCAACGGACAACGACCCGGAATGAGCCCAGGCACTTATGGACACGGATGACAAAGACATCGAAACCCAAGTGAGCTCGGCGGTGGACGCGAATGAAGATTTCCTTTCACCTGACGAGGTGCTACAAGGGGAATCTGCTAGCGACGCCGAGAACGAGGAAAAAGACTCTGCTCGAGGAACGCGACGACGAAGCCAAGAATGGTCAGTGGCAGGTAGCAATGCCATTGTGACAGCGAAAACGTATCAGGAAACAAGAACGCGCAGCCAGTGATGACAGCGTCGCTCGAGGTGTAGCTGAGAGCAACAACTCCGGCGCTAGAACGCTGGCAGAAGAGCGACGCGGAAGTGCATCTGAAAGGGGCCGACGACGAACGCGCACGGCGCCGCTGCCCAAAAACCATATGAAGGTTATCATGCGGCCCAGACCAGGGTTAGATGGGAAAGAACTGAAAGCATACCAGGTTGCGCAAGCGATAGAACATGCGAGCGGTGACCCGGAGGCCTGTACCAGCCACAAACTTCTGATTCGCCTTCGCAACGGATCGAACATAATTATTGCAAGCACTCCGTACGAAGATGTAGCAGAAAAGATCTTGAAGATAAAGACATTGGAGCTCAATGGCACCAACTATCCCGTCAACACCTACATATCCACTCCTGCTAGATACTTGAAAGGATTGGTACACGGATTAGAACGCGAAACGCAAGAAGCTGAACTCCTGAGCCATCTCCAAGAGCGCACTCAAGAAGTGACAATTGTTCAATCCCGCATGCTCGAAGAAGAGACGCTCTAGGTGCCGACCAGTGCGGACGCGCGAAGATCGGCTCCTGCTTTCAAGAATGATTTCCTGTGGTATTCACGAATTCGTCGCTGAGTTTTTACTCTCATCGTGTGCCTAAGTTCTTAAGAAATCAGCAGATACCACCTTTGTGCCGGTGAGTGGACTTTTAAACCGTTTTTTGGGACATTTTTACACAGCAACGCCACCGGGGGATTTAGGCCTAACCAAGGAGGCGATTGTCGCCGATGCGCCGGCCCGGCGCCAACGCGACTCAACGCTCTGCGCGTTCCAGTATCTGCAACTGAGAATGGAATACCAAGTAGATGGAGAGGACATCTCTCCAGAGGATTGCACGGAAGAAATGGGTTGGAAGGAAGCCGAAACAAGACGCTCAAGGAATAAGCAAGCCGCGGTTAGCGTTCCTGCTGCCAAGGGTTCGACCGAGGCCGGCGTTGCGGGAGACGCTCGAGCCAGTCGTAGTAGGTATGACACCAAGCATACAATCGTGCGAGCTGGACGCATGCCGCCACTACCTAAGGACTTCAGCAAAATTGTGCTACGACCACGTGGAGGATTAAATATCACGAGAATTGGCACTGGAGCCATGGCAGACGCGATAGTACTGGCGGCCGGCGTCAAAGAGGAAGAGGCCATGCAGGACATCATCTGTTCCAACTTGCAGCAGAACATTATGGTGGCAAGCACTCCGGACCAAGACAGAGCTTCAAGATACCTCAAGGTCAAGCAAATTGACATTAGAGGCAAAGTTTTCGAGGTTAGTGCGTACGCCGCGGCACCCCACGACACCTGTAAAGGAGTGATTCGCGGGATCCCCGTAAGCGATACTCAGGACATTTTGACCCGAAAGATTGTGAACGCGAACAACCCGCTCGCGCTGCAGGCGAAGAGAATCAAGGACACCGGGACAATCATCATAGCGTTCGAAGGACACAAGGTGCCCAGATTCGTGAGATATGGACCTTCACTATTGCAGTGCTCCCTTTACCGCAAGAACATCGATATTTGTTACGTCTGTGGAAAGCTGGGACATCAGTCTGACGTCTGTCCGAACCCAGCTGAAACAATCTGCAGAGGCTGCGAGATCAAGAACCCAGATAGCCTGCACCAGTGCAATCCAAGATGTGCGATGGTCACCATCCCACGGCAGACAAGGAGTGCAAGAACAGGTTCTTAGTTCCATACGTCGTCAGACGCAGACGTTGGGAAAGATCGCGAGCAGCCGCAGAAGCCCGGGACGCATCAATCACATCGAGTCCAGACATCAATGACAAGCAGCTTATTCCAGCCTACGGGACCCAGAGCATCCAGACTACACAAGAACAGGAAAGGCGGCCCCACTCCAGGGGGAGGTCGCGTTCCAGAAGAGGTTCTAGACCCAAGGCCCGCTCCCAATCACGGGGGCGCTCGTGTTCTCAAGGTCACCATCAGGGTCGGGATCAGCCTGGGTGGCACCCGAACGGCCAGCTACCTGGCGTTCAGTTCGAGATCACGGCTTCACATCCGGGGAGGACGCCTGCAGTTACTTCGAAAGGCAGCTGGGCTGAGCGAGTGCGCAACGGCGGGGCAGAGGTGATGACAGGTAAGCTGCCAGAGCATGATAGAATTGCACAGCTAGAGCAAGAAAACGCGAGACTTACAAAATCAAATGAGAGGCTATCAGCTGAGTTAAAGGAAATGAAAATTCTTCTCACTAAGCTAACCAGCGCGCAATCTTCACAGCCAATGCCTCAGCCAGTTGATGTCCCTGTGGCTGAAAACGTGGGGGACTCGAGAACCGCAAAAAAAGGGCAGTCATGGCAGAACACGTGGAAGCCAACCAAACGACCATGTCAGATATGAAAGAGGTGTTTGAGACGCTCAGCAAAGTAGTAGCCAATCTTAGCGAGCAGATGGGTAGGCTACAATCAAGCGTGGCGGCACTGGAAGAGCATATGACTTTGCGCATTACAAAGGTCGAATCATATCTGCACAACACAGCAAGGCCTCCTCATGCACCAAGCTCACCCCTTCGGCCACCAATACTAGTGGTACCAAACCTGTCGACAGGTGCAGCATCAGGCTCTGGCCACCCATGTAATAACCATGATGGCAGCGCTACGTGAAGCATTTCGTATCTGGCAATGGAACTGTAGAGGTTACCTTAAAAAGAAGGCAACCCTGCAGCAGTATATCAGGAGCAGCCAAGAAAAGCCTCATATTATATTATTACAAGAGACCCTTTCACCGCAAGCAACGTTGCCTGGATTCCGACCTGTAATAGGGGATACTGAAGGGAGGGGAGTCTGCACCTTCGTATGCAACAAACTAACGCACGTAACCCATGACCTCAAGATAGAAGCAGGCCGATTGGAACACGTCTTGGTAGAGATCGTGCCGGGTACCAGCAACCGTCAGAGCATTTTCATTCTTAATATATACAGCAGTCCAAAGGAACAAAAGCAAGGGTTCAAGACGGTTCTAAAGAAAGCTGTTAATATCGCCGGGGAATGTCCACTCGTCATAGCAGGTGATTTCAACGCCCCTCATCATACATGGGGTTACAAGTACAACACTGGGGAAGGAAATCGACTTTGGCAAAGTGCCAGTGAACTTGATCTCACCCTAATCACAGACCCCAGCCTACCAACAAGGCTTGGTACATCTTGCTGCAGGGATTCCACCCCGGACCTTACATTTGTAAGGAACATCAAGAAGGCCCAGTGGA